AGCTAATCTTAAGTACATATATAAAAATTGTTTTAATTGAACCCAGCTAACGATTCTCTATAAATTTTGTTTTGTTAGGTATTCGAGATGCGCCATATGACCAATAGATTGTTTTACTTGTTTCAACGTAAAGTAACATAAGTAAAACAAAAACAAAAAAAAAAATTGAAGTCAATATATTGCATTATAAATGCGAATCGTGGTCCGTAAATGAACCATCAGTTATAATGCATATGTAGACGCATAAATATCTGAGTTCAAGCAAACAACATAACTTATGCTCCGAACAAATGTCCACATTACATACGTACATACATACATACATACATTGATGCATACATACATTTTTAACTTAAACTCATAGTGCACTGTTTTGTCGACATTTTATTAGGTGTGCCTAACTGAAACGCCCAATGATTTGATCATAAAAGAAATACCAACGAATGAGTATTTATTTTCAGAAAACGCAATGTACGTATGAAACATGTGTACATATGTCCGTGTGTGTGCGCACATACCTAACCTTATATCGTCTATATAAATATTCTTTTATGGACTCTTTAAATAAAAATATGTGATAAACAGAAAAAAAAAGAAAAAAAAAGACAAAAAAAAAAAACAGTAAAGCAATTGTAAATAAATGAAATACCATTTGCACAACACATGAACATACATGCATCTATAAAAGGTACTCTAGCCTATAATTTTCTGTACTCGTATGTAAATAATTTTGCGGTAAATTTTTTTTATTTTTTTTTATTTTGCACGTTGGCTATTGGTCATAAATTGCTTTATTATATTATACAACATATTTAAATTATTAAGAGTTTTATTATTCAAATGTTGTTGGAAAACTCTTAGACATTATTTGATTACTAAAATTTGAACTGCATACCAAAATGACTAGATTTTGGCAACCATAATAAATTACTTTTAAGTTATTTAGGTAATTCGCAAATTTAAAAAATCACTTTATGAATTTACGGTGATAAGGTTTGATGATTTTAAAATCAACATAAAATGCCAAGTCAATATTCGCCATCTCCTTCTCGTTTATTCGAATAAAAAGGAAAGCATTACTCAAACTTTTTTTCGTTTTTTTTCTTTCATATACAATACTACCCAGTCACTCATGTGATGGTTGGAAAGAAAAAAAATAGGGAAGCGACTGTAACCTAGTGTGCGTAATCGGTAAATGTTATACCGTTAACGGCTAAGCACTCGCTATAATTGCAAGACTTTAACTACCGAGCGCTGAACTCTCCCTTAGTAATTATGATTCTTACCTACTCTTATGGACGTTGAGGGAACTTGTGAAAAATGTATAAGTTAATGAAATTTTGGCATAAGTAACTCTTATTTTAAGTGCATACTATCGTCTGGGATCCTCGGTCAGAGAGTAATTTAAGCGTTAAATGAATAGAACTCGTAACTACGTGCACTAGGAAGAGCGCTTATCATTACGCTTTGTGAAGGGCATTATAGCTAAGCATTGGATTTATGACCTCAAACAACTATATGTTCACGTTCTTCTATCGTGCCTTGAGCCTATTAATTTTGAACCCCTATTCTGTCAGAGAAGAAAACACTCGCATTAGAATTTTACTTTTATGAAAAGTATTATTATTATTATTAATTTAGCCCGAGAATAATTTCTAAGACTAAAAGGCTTAAAGCACTAGCTTCTAAGTCTTTCGACTTTATTAAAAACTCTACCGCACTTGGGATTTGAACCCACGACCACTGAGTTGCTAGTCGAGACTCTTGCCTACTCGCCCGCCCAGGAGGATTATGAAAAGTAATTTTCTATTCTACGTAGAAGTATGTGTAAATGTCAAAAGCAGGGCAATTTTTTTATCGCCCCATTTTCCAAAGTTGGCTATAAAAGCTTCAGAACTTTTTTTGAACCAAAAGATTGTAGAAATATTTGGATAGCAAGTTACGTGTACCACACAACTTTGTGGTCGCAAGACAATTTTGAAAAATTGGAGGAATGCTGCGACAACCCGGCCTACAATAGGAAAAAAGCTATATCTAAGAATTGTAAGCAGATATTGAAAAGATTAGATAAATAAATGGCTCATACTTCTTTGTTGGATGGTCTATTGGAGTTTCTCTACGAGATAGATTTTGAGTATAGGCAGCTCATCTACAAGATACGTGAAATTGCATAAGCTTTTTAAATGTTTTCATTATAATCATCTGAATACTTTTCTAAACATAAAAATATTGATCTACATACTATACGTCTAACTTATCTTTTAATTCATTCTATAGATTCCCTCTATACCTTACTCAACAAAGGCTTAATGAGAATAACTAAAAATATATGAATAAGTATCAAGATGTAGGAAAAAGGTAAATTATGCATTTTCCAATATATCTTTAGTCGATTATTACTTTAATTCTTCGAGAGGCACCATATAGCTCAGGCGATAATAGTAAATAAATAAAAAACACGATTACCTAAATTTCTCTTATATTACTCAGAACTTAATTATCTTGAATTCTATTGAGAATTATCGCAAATTATACAAATTTTTAAAAATAAACTTGGCGGCTTGGACGCAAGGGTACTTGAGAGAGTAAATATATAAATTCAGATCACGATCGACGCATGGATCCGCGCCTTCAAAATAATTCTTGCTTTATGAACTGAGCGTAGAAATTAAATTCTATTTTTTTTTTTGTTTATTTTTTTTTATTAAGTATGCAGAGAAAGGGTCGCAAGGATGTTGCGAAAGGCATAAGGCAATTGGACTTAAGTTCACTTTGTTGTTTCTCGTTTTATTCGATCAATGACGATGAAAATATTTTTCGCGAATCCTTTCATTATCACTTTATCCATTATCTAAGATCATCGAAAGATTTCGTATTCAAATCAATAAACAATTGCTACTAGAAATGCTATAAAAAACACGTAAGTAATTAATCGGAAATTGTCTTTGAAAACGCAAGCAAGACTAACAATCTAAAAATTAGCAATCAAATCATAACTTAAAAAACTAATATATATATATATATATCCACTTCCTATTCCTATTTAATTTTTTGTTTGTGACGCACTCTTGATCATTTAGGTCTGTCCATATGTCTAGTTTCTTATTTATATATTCACTTCCTATTCCTGCTAGTATAAAATATTTATTGTCTTGTTCGTAAGATACACGCGCACTCTCGATCATTTAGGCCTGTTCAACCGTTCAGTTGCTTGTGCGTCTCCCATCCGCCAGTGACAAAAACAGCTGAGTTACAAAGGGAACATCTACTCTAGCTTACCCCGTCGAAAGATAAGCTCACATTAGCAATAACGCTTTAAATGATTAAACAAAATCATGCTAAACAGAATTCTCTTAATTAATTATCTTCAAACAAGTGAAAGGTATATTTCAAATATATTCGATCATTCGGATATATTGAATCGTGTTGGAAATGTTTCAGACTATCTACGAAGTCCTTAAATAGCCTATTCACAGTTTGAAAAGTTTCCTTAATATACATAAAAAATTTAATTTATAGAATTAAACCTTCATTCCCCATCAAACGATAGCGAAATTTGGCAAAATATGTGATCGTCGGTAAGATTACAGCACAGCCACAAGCAGAAAGGACCACAGTTTGAAATAATACCGGTTTCCTTTAAACACTTATTTGGTCGTTGAGTTTATCACCGTTTCTAAGCGTAAGCCGTTCAATTTTTTTTTTTAAATATCAACTCTGCAATTGACTTTTTATATAAATCGCTTAATATTGTTTCCGACGTCTTTAGGACTAAAATAAGAACGAATTGACTTCATACTTAGCATATAACAATACTTAAGGACCTTTCTTATCGCACTCTTTGGTCCGATAAACATTGCTCTTCAATCTTGCATTCTACAAATCTAATGTAATCAGCAAGCTTCAAATCTGAGTAGTCTATGTGTTTTTTGATTTAAGTTTTCAATATTTGATAAAGCATTTATTATCTTCATGCCATTGTTTTTCTTTTAACTACATATAAAACGGTAAAGCAATTATAAGGCGATTCAAAATTTTGTTACCAAAACAAAATTTTTAATAAAAATTAAAAGATAAATCAAAGCGCTGAACTTTGTTTGAGGCAGTGTCATATGGTTTACAATAATAGTTTTCTTTCCTTTTTTGCGAATGAAAATTATTACATAAGAAAATCAGGTAAAAACACTATAGTGAGGCATGGTCCACTTCGCAATACCCTACACCAGTTCTACCCTAATATAGATATTCATATAATGACTTTTCAAAATAATAAATTATTATAAGGGAAGTGGACAAAATATCAGAAAAATTACTACGTATAGCCTCAAGACAAGACAACAAGACGGGCGGATGGACAAAATTAGATCGATGCAAAAAGTAACGCTACATCGATCGATCCTTCTGGGTGTTGCGTACATGCGCACAAGCTTTACATACTTTAACGAACTACCATAATTTGAAATCTGCGCAATAAGTATTCTTAAGGAATTCGATATCGCTTACATTCATCACAATCAGATATTAAGATGAAGCCTTTCAATAGCTTAACCTTAGAGCTTCTTCGTATTTACCCTTTCTTCCAGGAATTTTTCGAAATTCCTTTGACAAGTATAGCTTGCCGCTAATAAGACGAGAACAGAAATATTTTTAAAAAGCAAAGGGTTTCATTTTACAATAATTTTCATAAATGGTAATCTGATGCAAGAAAGCCAATTAAACTAGAAAGAGAAAGAAGTTACATTAAAGAATGATTGGTAGCGAAAGCAATTGAACAAAATTCACATACAACTATAATTATTAAAACTTTTTAAAATATTTTAATAGTAATCGTTGACAAAAATACTATAATTTTGATGATCGACTGATGTGATTAAGATTTTTTTTGTTTTTTTTTGAAAGTTTAATTAAAATTCCTTAAAAACCTCATTGAGACTTTACCTCTATAATAGATAGATAGTTTTGCGAAAAGAAAATCATCAATCAATTTTTGTAGCACTTACCTTAAGCTGTGCTGGGATTAGCACAAGTTTGCATAACGTTATACAAACATAAGAAAAAAGCTGATGACAACGTTAATGTTAACATAATTCCCGAAATAATATCGTTTCACAATTAAATAATGTTGTGTTGTATAATCCAGTTAGAATAATATAGCGGGAATAGACAAGTAATCCAAGGTAGTAATCATTTAACGGTAAGGCACTCTCCGAGTGATTTTAAGTAATTTTTTGTTTTACTTTTTTGTATCTTTTCTTATAATCTTAACGTTTTATATAAGGCACGAAAAATGTAAACACTATAGAAACAAAAAAAAAAAAAAAAAAAACAAACAAACATGCAAACAAATGAAGAACAAAAAATTGATAAATATAAGAAAGATTTAGTTTATTTACAACTTGAAGAGATATATTCTCGTCTTTAAAATAATTGATGAGCACAATTTTATTATTTAGCTGATGCTACATTTTTTTTGTTTTTTTTTTTTTTTGCTCTTAGAAAATTTATAAAAGAATTATTTTTCTTTTTGTTATCTCTCTTCGTTTTTTAATATATTCCAAGAGCTTACATATATACATATGTATATAAACATATATAAAAAATATTTAATGACGCTTTTTACTATATACATATATATATATATACCTAAATGTATAAAAAGAAAAAGCACATATTTTTCGAATTAACTCAGGGTTGCAGAGAAACAAATAAGAAAGTCATTTGCGATTGAAGACGAATCTTAGATACTCACTATCTTTTCATTATATTTAAAGCAAATTATATTTTAAACTATAAAGAAACTTTCACTCGATAATGGTTATGCTGGCTTTTCCGAATGAATGATCGCAGTTTCGCAGCTGCTTTTTCACATCTTCTTAGACAAAGCTGTGCAAACTAATGAAATTTTTCGGAAAAATTCGTTAGAAATGATAATCTCACGAAAAATTTAAATCAAAGCATACTCTCAGCAAGGCTTCGAAGCCGCAGGCACAAAATAATAAGAGCACTGCCGCTGTACAAGAGAATAGAGTAATGATATCCTAATTTACTAATTACATGTTGATGACTGCCACTATCAACTCTACAATGGCGGGCCCAAGTCCGAAGTTACCGATAGAGCTTTTTGTGGTCGTAGCTATAATGAGTGCTCAGTCGGTAAAAGCATAACATTTATCTCTCTTTCCTCCCATCTCACCGGCCGTCACCGAGGACATCGCCGGGCTGATTGGCCATATTAAAAAAAAAAAAAGAAGGAAGGCGCACCTTTTGCTATATCGATGGACTCAAAATCACTTTCTAAACTCGTCGATCCCTCTATCCGTCTTGTTTTCTTATGTTCACTCAACAGGCCGCAAGTTTTCAGATATTTTGATGAAATTTTGTACACTAACATGTTTTGGTCCCAGGGCAGAAGCTACTGAATATAGTTCAGCTCAGACCACTTTTCGAACCCTTCCCATGCATGTAAAGCTTTATTTTGAAAAAGATAGCTTGTGAGCTATCATAGGATTTTTGCTTGTTTCTTTTCTTTTTGGTTAATAAAATAACTTAACATGGCCCATGGTAAAGGAACGAAGCCATTCAGTTCATTATAACAATTTTATATAAGTTATTTACTCTAACACATCGAATGACATTTACCGGCAATTTGTACCTATTGTTAAATTTAATGCAGGGATGATTGAACCCTACAATCAATGTATATGCGCCAAGTCTCCTGCATTTCTACTGCGCTTTTTTGGACCTAACAAACCGTTTAGGTAAATTAGTATACCTCCATCAGTTAGTGATACGAATACAAGTAGAATGAGAGTCTAGAAGAATTTTTAAACAAAACAAAGTTAATGGAAGAGAATTAAAAAACAATATTTTAATTGATAATTTTTTAAATTACTATTTCATTTATTTATTTTTCCTAAGCTCAATAGATAGGTAAAGATATTCTTTTTTCTCTTGCATTTTAACCCGTGAAGTTATTTGATTTTGGTTTTTTTCTTTTGTTATTGTTGAATTTCTAAACAATTTTTTTATCCATTCCGTTTGATTTTTTTGGTTTTGCTGTATCTCTTTTTTTTTTTTTTTTTTTTTTTGAATTATTAACTTGACCGATCACTAAACTAATTGAATGTTGTTCCAAATCAGGGATTTTGGAGAGTATTGTATGTGTATTTAAGAAACTAAAAATCAAAAGCCTGAGAGCCAGAGAGAAACACGAATGGCCTTTTAATCATGAATTCGTTCTAGCATTGTTGTTTTTCTTCTTCTTATTGTTGTTGTTATTATTTTATTTTTTTTTTTTTACATTTTCATTATATTTCATGTTAATGTACATTTAGTAACTTATAGTATAGACGGCGCGACAACGACGTTAACGATAAAGTTAAATGAGTATTTGTTGCTTTGCTATACTGAACTGAGTCGTTAGTTGTATTTATATTATTTTAATTGTTGTTGTTGCTATTATAGGAAAGAATGTATTGTATTTTGTTGTTGTCGCGCAAATTTATATTCTTATATACATATATTTGAATATAATGCATATATATATATATTTTTTTACAATTTTCTACATATATACACACATTTGTACATATTCCTTTATACAATTTTTTAACACAAATACTTATTTATCTTTTTCACTTTAACTCTCTTTCAAATCTTTTTTTTTCTTTCTTTCTTTTTTTTTTTTTTAAGAAAAGAGAGCGAAAATTTTTGGCCAGTTCGTTTGTATTGTTTTCTTTTCCTTTTTTTTTCATATATTTTCAAATTTATATAATAATGTAACTTTGATTTATTTTATATTTTTAATTTTTTTTTTTTTTTTTTTTTCTTAATAAAGATTAAACTTCACCTTGTGTTTTAAGAGATTAATTTTTTTTTTTTTAATTTTTTTGCTTCCTTCTGTGTGACTTGTATTTTATTTAAAATATATACATATATATAGAAAAACGTATACATATATATATATATATACATTTATCTCAAGTCTTCACTTATACATTAATGAAAATTTTCCTCTCTTTTCATTTATTTATTTATTTATTTATTTATTTATTTATATATATATATTTTTTTTTTTTCTTTCACGTAAAGATTATTGCAATTCTTTCTAATAAAACCAGAAATTACACGATATTACTTTTCTATCCTTTACTTTTCTTTGAAAAAACATTAGCAGAAAAAAAAAAAACATTTCTTTGCTTTAAAAGTTGTATTATTTTGTTAAGTGCGCGTACTATGGAGAAATTGAATTTTTTTGAACCGCTTTACTCAGCACCGTAAACTAAACTAACCTGACTCGTTCGCGCAACACTTAGTTTTTCCTCAAAAATTCCATCGGAGATTCATACCAATGTAGTGATCGTTGTTCTTGTTGTTTTTTTTTTTTTGCTGCTGCTGCTTTTCATAAACATTGCAATCTGTGTATATTTTAGTATGTTATGTTTTGGTTGTCGTTTATTTTTTTTTTATTTTTGCTGTTGCTTGTATCTATCGTTATATATGCACGTGTATGTATACGGGTATCGCATTTTCTGCTACATGTACCTGCTATTTAAAATTTACCGTATATTGTCTATGTAGTGGTATTCGATTAAAGCACATTTCAGTGATTTCTTTTAAATGATGCTCTTCGGCTAGTTTTAAAACTGCTCTCAAAACTCATTCTCTCGGTCCGTCTTTCACTTTTACTCTCTCGCGCTCTCTCCCTCTCTCTCTCTCTCGCTCTCTCGCTCTCTCTCCCTATCGCTCGCTCACCCTCTCTCAATCTTTCTGTTTCGCGTTTGTGTGCGCGTTGTTTGTTATTTACTCAGTTCCACATAACGCGATCGTTTAGCTACAACATTCCAATTCATCTATTCACGTTGCATACATTCTGAATGCACGACTATTGAGTATAAGTATTTGACTTGAAATATTGACTATGTATTTGTGTTATTTGTATACGATTTATTCTGATGAGATTCAACGAATTAAGTTCAAATTGGAAATATATTAAATTTTGTTCTTTTGACTACTAATAATAATTTTGATAGGATTAGAAAAAAGTAATTTGCCTAAAATATATTAAGCCTTAGAGTAAGAGAGCACCTCAATTGATCGCAAATAACAATCTTTTTTAATATCCATTAATTAATTAAAGTGAATGTATTAAATTTTTCCTTCCGAAAAACTTGAGATTTTTGAGATTAAACAAACAAAAACTCTATAATGAGTACCCTACATCACTTCGTTTAATACAGTAATTCATATAGTCGCTTTTCAAAATAAGACCTTATACGGGGAGTGCTCAAAAAAGTGACCCGATCCGAATCATTTTCAATAGCGTTCAATTCGGTCGAACTGTAGGCTGAACATAAGAAACAAGACGGACAGATAGACAAATTTAAATCTTTGGATCACTGGATCTGTCTCAAGTGTTTCTGAGTATCTGTAGAAACTTAAAAAGTCCTTCTACCCCAAGTAATATAGGGTATAAAAATAGCGGTAAAAGTTTTGACTGGTTTCAAACTTATATTTTTCCAAGATTCTTCAAAACTTCCTTCAAGTAGTTATAAGGAAACAAAAAAATAACAGAAAACATTGTGACATTTGTCAATCCATGTTGTTAACCGTTTGTAAATGAGTCAAGATTCTAAAAAAATCACCTATAATTTCTAATATTACATCAACCAGGACAATAACGCTTCCCACGTTTTCGTAAAATGCATTATCAAAATCAGCTGGTTACAAGTGGTGTTCTTGTTTCCAACCCGGAATCTTTAATGTTAAATATGTGTCACGTTCTGATGTGCGAACTATTGATCAAATCTATATAAAATTCTCCAAATAGAGAAAAAGACGGGCACATTTAATCTTAGCGCGTCGCCCATAAAAGAGTTTTGAATCATTTACAAAGACTTGGTTACGAAAAGAAGCTCAATAGCTGCATACCACATGCAGTAACAGTGCAAAAATCTGATGAATTTTTCCTTCAAAGCGGGCAATGAAAGTGAATTACATGCGCGATTAATGTACGAAAAAGTTTGTGATCCAAAATAGATGAATCGGCGAGCAGGATTGCAAAATCCAGATTTGCGTCACGTAAGGTGATATTCGATGCGCAACTGCGCACAAGATTACAAAGTCCGAGTTACCATCACGTAAGATGACGTTCTTGCATTCGGTGGATTTTGTCGTCTTCCATCGTCACATGCCTTTTAGACGATTCCGTAACAAATTGCGATACCTTGGCTTGCGGTATCCGACAATCATTTGTTTTACTTCCTACAGCAGTCTCCTAATCATGTAAAATTGGCTTCAAAGGAAATCTGTGAATGACTCATGGTACAGTTTTTAGCCTAGAAGTTCTACAGTGATGGCTTAACTGCTTTATCACATAGGTAGCAAAAGATTTTTGGTCGAAATGGCACACACTTTATCCCACAAAGTTCACTAAAGGTTGTCCCAAAATTTGGACAAAGTTTGAATTAAATAGTAAACAGTTATAAATTTCTTTTTTATTGTAATTTTTTTATTGAATCATAATGTACATTGGACAGAGTTCTGTATGGCACAGCACATCGGGCAAAGCGTCATGCACGGCTTTGCTAGCATATGCACACTCTTGCATAGAAATAGCTACGTTTCATCGATGCCCGGTCAATGCACGGGTGGTTGTGGGCTTGTTGGCGTAGACCTTTGACTTCAAATATCGTTCTATGCAACGGTCTTAACTTAATCATGGTCACATGGTTTGCTGTACTGAACTTTTACAATATTTTAGATAATTTTTAGGTTTGTTTAACAAGTATCGATGATTGCTTGGACATGTCCGTTTTCCATATCGTATTTAAAAGCATCGAGCAAAAAAATGTGTGCCACGTGCGGCAGAAGGATATGCAATCATCTAATGCATACACATATCTGTTGCAAACGAAATAAGAAAATTAGTACACTTCGCCCGCCTTGAGCTGCTGTGCACAAAAGCAAACCATTCAGCTATGGTGAAAAATCCAAAACTCGAAGATTCCTAAGATAGTCTTTACACAGGAAAAAAAAAAAAAAAGAAAAAAAGAAGGAGGAAAAAAAGCTTCCAAAGTATTTTGTATTCAAAATGCTTACAAAATGTTGCTTTTTTTAGTATTTTATATTGAAAACTTAAAAGATCCGATTCTTTTGTCGGCTCAACCGGCTGGCTGGTCGGTACACTTTTGATGTGAAGCGATAATAAAATAATTGCGATAAACTATCTATTCTTACTCTTTAAAGGTTTGCATTATTTGGATTTGCGAGTTGTTTGCCACAGCCAACACACAACAATAACAGGGCACCGAAAAAATACTCAAAAAATAATAAAAAAAAAAAAACAAAAAACAGAAAAAAACTTTGCAACTAAAACAACAACAACAAACAAATAAAACTCTTAAAAGAATCTCTTACAGAACTGACGAGGACAAAAAAGAATATAGTGAAGTTCTTATTGTAAAAATCTTGAAAAAAATAATAAATATAAATAAATACATACTAGCAACAACAATAATAAAAAAAAAAAAACAATAAGAATAATAAAAACAAATACAAACATAGTTTAGAAAACAACAAGGAGTACCTGCAAGCCTGACAGCATTTTATTGAAGAACATGGGCAAACGACAAAATCTCTTTTTCTGTAGTTTTTTATATTTATAGCCGGCACTACAAGCATAAGAATACATTCACTCCTTTCAACGGTTTAATAAAAAATGCAAGCATATCATGAAGGATTCCTACCTTAAATAAGAAATTCTAAATCATTTTAAGTAGATTAAGATCTATCTCTCTCTCTCTCTCTCTGTCTTCGATCACTCTTTAGCAGCGTATTTAAATAAGCAAGTAGATTATAGTTGAGATATTTTACTAATTTCCG